CCCCAAAACCCCAAAACCCCAAAACCCCAATAGATCAAATTACAGCTTAGAAGACTGTAATGAAAAATGGTAATCAAACCTAAAAAGATAATAATTGTTCAATTAGTAACTTACTTCTTAAAATTTATGTATTAATAATCAAACTTAGTTATGCAAAAATCATTTTGTGTTATAAATGAGTTATATTAGCTTAAAGTATTTTTGTTTAATGAAATCAATCTTCGAATTAGTTTGACTATGTACTAATTGATCTTCCATAAGACTCTAATAATATGATAATTCAAGCATTTTGCTGACTTTGAACTCATAAAAGTTGAAAATTAAACTAGTATTTTCTTTGATTTTTATTATCAACATGCATACTTTTAACTGTGTCTACCTTATTTGATTTATTGCATTTGCATCGTTTACAGTTGCCATTTTTGTATTTTAATCATCTTAAGTTTACAGTTCTTAAAAATTGCCATTTATTCATCTTTGACAAATATAAATCTGAGACTTGGTAACTTTATTGCATGAATATGACCTTAAAGGCTTAAGAAATCACATGAGTACGAAGTTTTCGGATAATCTAAACAAGTGTCTAAGAATCGAACCATTTCCTGTAGACTTCTCAGAAGAAAATATTTTAAAGTCAAATTTTCCCTCATACATAAATTAGCTCTCTATTCTGAATCGAGATAAGCAGAAGGTTCATCTATAAGATAAATATCACTATGTTTGGCTAATGCTAATGCTATGGCAACACGCTGTAATTCTCCACCTGATAAAATTTAAACATTTTTATCTAGCATTTAATCAATACCGAGAAGCTTGAAAACCAAAGACTTAAAGAGTGATTCTTCATATAAGGTCGATAATTTAGTATAAAAAGATCCTTTACAGTTCCTCCGTACTTTGGTGATAATTGTTGTGGTTTATAACTGAAGCTTAATTTAGGGATTTAAGCACCAACTTGATCAGGCTTTATAATACCAGCAAGCAATTTGATAAGCGTGGTTTTTCCGGTATCATTTTAACCAAGCATAACAATAATTTCAGAGTTTGAAAAGCTACACTCATCAACATTCATCTAGAATTCCCCTATGGTCTTTGAAATCTTTGGATATTTATAATGAGCTATATTTTATGAAGTTTTTTTAGGTTGCAATTTCCAACTCAGTTTCAGGAATATTAATGGTGAATTCTTCATCTCTGAATCTTATATTTTCAGTGTGAATGAATCCGCTTAGAAAAATATTGATGCCTTCTCTAACTGAGAATGGTATAGTCACAACACCATAGGCTCCTGGGCTACCATAAAGACAGCAAATTAAATCTGATAAATAATCCAGAATTGACAGGTCATGCTCAACTACTATTACATAGTTCTTAGGGCATAGTAATGATCTAATCATTCTAGCAGTATTTAAACGTTGCTTAATATCCAAATATGAACAAGGCTCATCAAACATATATGCATCTGCCTCCTAAAGAGCAGTCAATGCGATAACGAATCACTAAAGCTCACCACCACTCAATTGTTTAATCTCTCGTTCAAGAATACTTTCAAGGTCCAATTTATCAATGATTTCAGCTAATTTATCTCTCTAATCTACAATTTTAAGTCTCTTTCCTACAATACTTTAAGCAGCCTTTGACTTTGCTACACTGTCTACATATTGAATTTTTATCTAAGACTTCAAATTTTTCTCAAGCATATTAGTGAAATAATTTTGAAGCTCACTACCTCTGAAAAATTTTAGGATCTCTTTCCATTCAGGAGGGTTCTCACATCTACCTAGATTAGGTTTAATGCTACCATTTAGGATTATAAGTGCAGTAGATTTACCGGTACCGTTAGATCTTAATAACCCTAACACCTCACCAGCTCTTGGCTGAGGGAGTCTATGCAATTTAAAAGCTTTAGGGCCATGTCTATGAATGACTTCGTTGGTCAAACCTTTGGGAAAGTTGATGATCTTGATGGCATCAAAATGACATCTCTTGACGCATATACCACAACCAATACAGAGGCTTTCAGAAATAAAGCAGACACTTGAAGCGGGAGTAACTTCAATACAAAGTTTTCCTGTCTTGTTGATGGGACAAGCCTATTTGCATTCTTGTTTGCACTTATTAGGTATGAACTTGTCATGATCAATAATTTCATTTCTCAACTTGTTGTTAGCCTCCATAGTAGTTTGATTTTAAACAATTTATTAATTATTAAATTGCAACAAATTTTGAGAAATAATATCAATATAATTTCCATTTAGTCATTATAATAAAATTTCATGATTTTAATTATCATTTTAAGTTGTTTTAATTTCTTTCATCTTGAATATATTAATTGTTTAAAATGAAGTCATCCCTTAAGCATATGAAACTATTGTTTATCATGGGGTTTTGGGGTTTTG